TGTTTTACCGAAAAAAAAAAAAAAAAAAAAAAGGCTGATTCTTTTGCTAGTTTTCTGGTTGGTTGCCTTGAGGAGGGTTTTTGGAAGTCCTTACTCCACCATTTTCATTGGTGCTTCTATCCCATAGCATTTTTACGAGGGATAATGTTGTTAATAATAGTAGCTTACATTTTGCGTGTATGGTTAAGTGCTTTTATTTATGTAATTTGTAAGTAATGCATATTATCTTCATAAAATTTATGGTAATTTTGGAAGACGTATCTTGCTCCCTTTAAAAACTTTTAAAATTTAACCAATCTGTGTCAGGGATTTTCTTGCTTTACAAATACCTGTTCTTAATTTTGGTGGGGGGTGAGTGGTAAGTTTTATAAACAGAAACGTGTACCTTAAATATATAGTTGACCTTGTGAAAAGACAGTGTTATTCTAGTCCTTTAACATTATTTTTAGGGAACACCCGGCACTTACTTGCCTTCTCCTAATCAGGCCTCCTATGCTCCCGAGGCAGCGAAGCCCTCGGCGGGCTCCATCTCCCTGGGACTGCCACGGCAGCAGGAGGCCGCCAAGCCAGGTCAGTGAGGAGGACGTAGCCCATCTCTGCCTTTGTAGCGTCACAGTCAGGGATTCAGCACTTGAGCTCACTTTCTTTTGCTTTGGTCCGTAGCTACTGTGCCCTACATCAAGCAAGAAGAGTTTTCTCCCCGAAGCCAAAACTCACAACCTGAGGGTTTATTGGTCAGAGCCCAACATGAAGGAGTGGTCAGAGGTAAAATATGCCGTTTGGCAGAAATACTAAACTCTGGTCCCCAATAAATATATTAAAGGAAGTCATTAATGTGTTTTAATGATGATGGGCTCTTAAACTAGAGCCTTTAAATTCTAAATGTAAGTTTTCTTTCTGTATAAAAATGACTTTAAAACTTTGAAATTTCATATTTCTACAGTCCTTTTTAATAACTGAAAAATTATTTTAAAAGTACATTTCAGTAAAACAAAAACTATTCTTTTTGTGCTGCTGTTTCCTCTCTTCGAAGTAGGGGCTGATTTTGTTTGCTTGGTTTTTTGTTTTTCTGTGGTTTTTTTGGCAGGTGCAGGGGTGTGATTCGCTAATGATTTTGTTTTTATTCAGGTACCACAGGAGCCATTCAAGAAGGAAGTATAACTCGGGGAACTCCCTCCAGCAAACTTTCTGTGGAGAGCATCCCATCCCTCCGGGGCTCTATCACCCAGGTTAGTTGCGCTCATTCATGAGAAAACCAGAAGTGAAGTCTCGAGCGTGTTGGCTGTTCTAGCAGTAGTTTTGTGACTATGTTGTTTGTTGTTCTGGGTTATGGAACAGGGTCTCAGTGATGATAAACCTCAGATCTATAAACTGTCTGCAGAGAGACAGTAATGTGATCATTTCGACCACAAGCCATATCATCTGTACTGTGGTTCATTTGAAAAGGTCGATTATTTGCAACTTGGCAGAAGAAACAAGTTCTAATTGATGTAACTCTCACTGCCTTCCTGGAAAAGCTTTTACCGTGTGTTCAGCTTAAATAGAAATTGAGAGGAAAATCATTATAAATTGTGTGCTTGCTTTGCCCCTTCTGAAAAGGAAGGTCTGTAGTCTCAGGAAATATGGATGGTGTTGACAAAAACACCAGAAGTCAAGTATCTTCTTCTAATTTTAGGCTAAGGTGCCAGTTTTGATTAATAAAAGGTCTTTCTTTTCCTCAGTTAGATGTAAATTTTAGTTTGAAATGTAAAACAGTCCTTAGCCTCTTTATTAATGTAGATCTGGGAAAGGAAAATTCTACTTTGGGAATTCACTGTAAACGGAATCCTGTGCTTTCGTGCGAGCATGTGCCTTTCACGAGCTTTCTGTTCTGTTCCTCTTCCTTGACTTTTGTTTCTGTTCCCTAGGACAGTGGTGGTTAAAGGTTGTTCCGCAGAGCAGCAGCAGCAGTGTCACCTGGGAAGTTGTTAGACATATAAATGTTGAATCCCTGACCTAGATTTCCTGAAGTCTCACCCATGGGGGCCGGGTCCCAGCAGTCTGTGTTCTCCAGCCCTCCAGGGATTCTGCCGAGCACCCATTCGAGAGCCAGCCCTAGGACCCTACTGACCAACTGTAGTGTGCCCCAGGGGAGCAGCATCTCCTGGGAACTTGTTAGAATAACACAGACATTTCAGTCCCTGCTCCAGACCTATGGAATCAGAATCTCCTTTTTTTAAAAATTAATTTTTTTATTAATTTATTCATTAATTTTTGGCTGCGTTGGGTCTTCGTTGCTGCGCACGGGCTTTCTCTGGTTGCGGTGCGTGGGCTGCTCTTCGTTGCGGTGTGCAGGCTTCTCACTGCGGTGGCTTCTCTTGTTGCGGAGCATGGGCTCTAGGTGCACGGGCTTCAGTCGTTGTGGCACGCGGGCTTCAGTAGTTGTGGCTCGCGGGCTCTAGAGCACAGGCTCAGTAGTTGTGGCGCATGGGCTTAGTTGCTCTGCGGCATGTGGGATCTTCCTGGACCAGGGCTCAAACCCGTGTCCCCTGCCTTGGCTGTTGGATTCTTAACCACTGCGCCACCAGGGAAGTCCCAGAATCTCCATTTTAACAAGAGTCCAGTGATTTCTTTCTGAGACATGGTTATAGAGCATGTGGTGTGTAGTGATCTGGAAAGTTACACACTAACTTCCCAGATCTCTCCTTTCACATTTGACCAAAGTTATCCAGTCCCTTGATGTTAGTTTTCAGAATAAGCAAACACTTTAATATAAATAGAAGAAAAATAAATGGCCTATGCATCTTATTTTTCCTTATTCATTTTCGCTGCAGTATCCAAACTGGATGTGGAATGAACTGGATCAAGTGAGGCTGGGCTTTGCCTGTCGATTTTCAAATCTGTCTGTCCGTGTGACATGAGCGCTTCCTAAGAGGATGCGAGGGTTTCTGAGTGTTCACCACCGAGCTCACCTCTCGGCTGCACGAGCGGACACGTGGACCCCATCACTGTCCTGCAGGGACACATGGGTTCAGAGTGGCCTCAGTGGAGTTTTGGGAACACTGAGTTTTGGAGTGTGTGTGGGCTGGGGCTGGGCCCCCGACTCTCCCATGCACCCTAGGCAGCTCACTTTGCAAAGTGTTCTACACTTTAGGTTCCATGAGTGCTTCCCTTGAAGGAAGGGTAACGAGAACCGTGGCCATAGGCGACCCAGAAGAGGACTAGTGATGGTGAAAACGCGGATGACATAACCTAAGCTGAGTCACATCACAGCACGGGGGCATCTGAGTTTTCTGTCCCCTCTTATTGATGACCAGAGGTCTAACCCAGCAGACAGTTTAGTAACTGAAAGCTCTTTTTCCCTCTTATCACAATATGAGAGAAGGTTGTGGTACTTTAATTTAAAACTTAATTTGTTGACTTATTTTTCTTAGAAATTTTGAAAAAGCTTTATTACATTTGTGTGATTTTAGGCCTTAAGACACATTTTGTTTCTGAGAGTTAAGTACCTTCGTAGAGGGTGGACTTTGAGGTGGGGAAGAAAGCTCATCAGCTCATATACCTGTTAGCATTTGAAGAAGTTTTGTATGGCAGGGTTCAAGGACCAAGGTACAGTGTTTCTTTACGTTTATAAAACGTGTGTCTGATTTCCTGTCATGTGCTGGCCTTTCTTATTTGAGGACATGGCTTGCTCTGACTCTCGGTGTGGCAGGTTACATTTTCTGAGCGTCTCTGTGTCCTGTAAAGTCAAGTGATGTTTGTGGTGCCTGTGTTTGAATTGATGACAGGGGACCCCGGCTCTGTCCCAGGCTGGCATACCAACTGAGGCTTTGGTAAAGGGACCCATTTCTAGACTGTCCATTGAAGAGAGCAGTCCTGAGAAAGGCCGAGAGGAAGCTGCATCCAAAGGCCATGTTATTTATGAAGGCAAAAGTGGACACATCTTATCTTACGATAGTAAGTATTGCATCTCCACAATGAAGCCAGTGTTGTAATGTGTGACTAAGGATATGGTTCTGGTTTCCTACACGCTTGCTTTGGAAAAGTTAGTTTTCCTTCCCTGAGCCCAAGTTTCCTCTCTGTAATGTAAAAAAAGGTTAATACTGGTACTTCTCATGAAACTTTTGTGAAAATTAACTGAAACAGTCAACGAAAAGTGATTAACAGTGCAGAGCCCATACTAAGTGTCCCCTGAGTGGTAGCTAACATCGTCAGCTGTGGTCATTTGATTTAGCCTAGGAAAATAATCTTTGTTTAACTTTAATAGAATCACTTTTATTTTAAAGGGGTACCTCTTTTATGTGTTAAGAATTAAGGAGTAGATAATCGTCTGATAATCCTAGAAAGAGTATTGAATTTAAATGCTGCTTAAATATAACTATTTTAATGTCTGTATGTATGTAAGCATTTATCTTTAGGTGTATCCTTAAGTTTCAGTTTTAAATGGCATGCTGTTCTGAGTAGTGAGATGAAATCTCACGCTATCCCATCCAGGGTGTGAATCTCCCCTTTGCCCACTGTGTCCACACTGGCTCAGTCAACAGTGACTTTCGTGAACCGCAGTGCTGTGTTCAGTGACCCTTCTCTGAGCTTTCAGATGTCAGGATCCCCTTCCAGCATTCTCATAGCCCACTGTCCATAGTACCGGTTACTGTGTGTAACCACCTAGTAATTTATCTGTATCTGCCACTACTGCTAAGTTTCACGAGGGAAGGGACTTAATTTGTTAACCTAATCTGCAAGCCTGGTTTATGCCTGACACTCAATAAATATATTTGAGTGAATGAAAACATTTTTATAAATGGCATCTGCACAGATGTATATAGTACATTAAGACCAGTTTTTATATATTATTTTTGTGAGATTATGAAATTAAGGTAACTTATTTACCGTACAATAGGCCTTGGGCTCTGTCCGAGCAATTCTTGTGTCTATGTCCTGCAGATATTAAGAATGCCCGAGAAGGGACGAGGAGTCCGAGAACAGCTCATGAAATCAGTCTCAAAAGAAGCTATGAATCAGTGGAAGGAGGTCTAAAGCAAGGGTTGTCCATGAGGGAGTCTCCTGTGTCAGCACCGCTGGAGGGTGAGGTGTTGTTTCCAGAACGCTGTTTAGATACATTGAATTTCGTATAGTAAATTTCCATTGTTGGGTTAGGTTGTATTCAGTCTCTGTTGTTTCAACCTGAAATTTATATTTATATCAATATATAAATGAAACTCATATAAATATATTAATATATTACTAATGCATGTAATATGAAATATACAGGTAATATATTAACATGAAATTTATATTAATAAATGTTTAAACTTATGTTCATATCTACATATAAATCAAGTGGTACGTGACAGTGGAGGGAAGTAAAAATTAAATATAATTGGTCATACCGTAGGTAACTGTTAGAATGCTCATATAATTTGTAGATTATTCCTGTTTGAGTTAAGTGAGTTTCAAAACGTGAAATTCATCATAAGAACTTTGTTTTTATTGTGAGGCAGATAGATAGAGTGGTATAATGGACAGAGCAAAGACATGTATTTGAATCCTAACTTCACTCTTTCCTCGTGAATTTCTGTCTGTTTCTTGCTCTGTAAATTAAGGGATTGTACCTACCATTGTGTCAGGATTAGAGACAGGTGTGCAGTCTTGTGCTGAGCATGTGACGTGCATTCATCAAATGATAGCTATGGTTTGGTTTTGTTAATGGCTCACTTTCCTTAAATCTTAACCTACCTCAATTATTTTATTTTAATCTAGATAAAATACTAAAAACAGGGTAAGGACTCCTCAATCTTGAAGGCCTGTGAAATTTTCTAAGAGCTGGATTTTCTCTGTAGTTAAAAAAAAAAAAAAAATCTTAAAAAAAAAAAATCTCACTTTCCTTTTCTTTGCCTTTTTTTGAGGTATCCATCTTTCATGTTTTCCCCTTCTCACAGGTAAACAGTGATTTCCAATCCCCCTATATTTTCTCTCACCTCGATCAGAAAGCACTGGGTGTTTACATTTAGCTTTGAAAGTGTTGTTCTTTACTTTTTGACTTATAATAGATGTCTTCTGTGGCCATTTTCTATTTAGGAAAATGTTTACAAAGAAACGGGTGATGTCATGTTGGGTACTTCCAACCTTTGTTATTTTTTCCATGATATTCTTCTGAATAGTTTGCAAATCTAAAATGGTACCCCTTTCTCCATGGAGCTTTTATCAACAGTACACCCTCTAAGAACAGTGTGCTGACATCCGTGTTGTGTCTTAACTCCGGAATTGCCTCCTTGTCTTGAAAGGGCTGATCTGCCGAGCATTACCCAGGGGGAGCCCTCACTCTGACCTCAAAGAAAGGACTGTGCTGTCTGGTTCCATAATGCAGGGTAAACATTTTGCTCATTTGCTTTTATTCATTACTGCCTCACTGGCAAAGTAGTTTGAAATTAATGTGCAGTGTGTGATATCTGAAAAAGATATTATCTGTTTTTCAAGATATCTTCCCTTTTGAAATGTTAGATATTTAAGTCCTGATTATAACTCGTCTTCTCTGAGTTACATAGTGTATTGGGAGATGATAGTTGCCTAATCTTTGAATATAGAGACACCTTCATTATGTAAGAACAATTCTGTGATTGTCATGAGTGATGTATTAAATCTTGAACAACACCGCCCCCCCCCCCAAAAAAAAAAGAATGGCCGATGAGTATTGATTTAAGGATCTTTTGTAAACCGAAAATTGATTAGAAACTGCAAGATGGCAAGGCATTCATTTTTTTATATTGCGGTAAATTCTGTGCAACAAAATTTACCATTTTAACAGTTTTTAAGTGTATAATTCAGTGGCATTAATTTAATAAGCATGTTTCTTGAATCCTTTTTTGAAGGCACACCAAGAGCGACAACTGAAAGTTTTGAAGATGGCCTTAAGTACCCCAAACAGATTAAAAGGGAGAGTCCGCCCATACGAGCATTTGAAGGTGCCATTACCAAAGGAAAACCTTACGATGGCATCACCACCATCAAAGAGATGGGGCGCTCCATCCATGAGATCCCCCGGCAAGATGTTTTAACTCAGGAAAGCCAGAAAACCCCAGAAGTGGTACAGAGCACGAGGCCCATGGTCGAGGGCTCCATCTCCCAGGTAGCCATTCTGCTTCAGACTGCAGTGCGACCTAATGATTATCAGTAGTTCTTATAAGCATTATAAGTGTCAGGTCTCTTGGAAGGAAACGTGAAGGTTTGTGTCTGCTTTACCCTTAGCTGTTCTGGTGTGGGAGAGTGTGCAGCTTCAGCTCAGTGGACCTGTGATGGAGACCCACACAGACAGCAGCCGTCGTTGCCACGAGCCCGATGTGGCCTGCGGTGGAGAAGTGGCTGAGCTGTGGCTGCCCGTGACGCCTGTCTCTTTCCC